GGCCATATGTTTGTGGACCCATTTCTAGGCTCTCTATTCTGTTCCACTGATCTATGTATCTGTTCTTGTGCCAGTACCATACTTGTCATTATGATTATAGCTTTGTAATACAGCTTGAAGTCTGGAATTGTCATGTCTCTAGCTTTGTTTTTGTTTTTTGTTTTCAACATTACTTTGGCTATTCCGGGTCTTTTCTGGTTCCATACAAATTTTAGAATTGTTTGTTCTGGCTCTGTGAAGAATGTTGGTGATATTTTGATAGGGATTGCATTGAATATGTAGATTGCTTTGGGTAGTATCAACATTTTAACAATATTTGTTCTTCCAATCCATTAGAATGGAATGTTTTCCTTTTTGTGTGTCTTCAATTTCTTTCACAAGCTTTCTACAGTTTTCAGTGTATAGATTTTTCACCTCTTTGGTATTTAATGGGTTTTCACCTCTTAGGTATTTTATGTTTTTTGGTGCAATTGTAAATGGCATTGATTCCTTGATTTCTCTTTCTGCTGCTCCATTATTAGTGTATAGAAATGCAACTGATTTCTGTACATTGATTTTATATCCTGCAATGTTGCTGAATTCATCTATCAGTTCCAGCAGTTTTTTGATGGAGTCTTTTGGGTTTTCCACATAGCATATCATGTCATCTGTGAAGAGTTTGACTTCCGCCTTGCTCATTTGGAGGCCTTTTCTTTTTGTTCTCTGATTGCTGAGGCTAGGACTTCCAACACTGTGTTGAGTAACAGTAGTAAAACACTCAATGTTTAAATAGTAGGCACTTTTGGGCATTACACATCAAACTGCCTACTGTCTCCAAATTAAAATGGTTGTGCATTAACTACTGAGCATTCCAAGTTGTTTATTTGGTGGGGTTGCCCCCAATCAACATTTTAGTTCTGGTGGTGCTTTCCAGCTAGTACGATTATTTCAAAGTTTTATTTCATAACAAAATGGAAAATTGGAATGTTAAAGTGCTAATAATAATGATATGATGTAAAGGTCTCCTAAAACTTAAACTACTGAAATATAAAATTTATTTGATGTGCTAAAAGCAGGGAATCATGTACTCACTGAACTTAGTCAACTCTTCAAATATGAATGAAAAGAAAATCAAAGAACGTACATTAAATTGACCAAACACATCATTAAAGGATATACTTAGGAATTTCTGGGAAGGGAATGGCACAGTCTATTGTTTGACCTCTACATTGCACTTTCAGAAATTCATTTGCCACTAAAATTGCAGACTGCCTTACTGAAAGTAAGGTACCCTAAATATAACCGATCCAATTCCTTTCGCTACTCTGTGATTAACATAGTTTCAAATACTGAAAGAAATGAAGCCAGGCAAAGAGACAAGCAGCAGCAGCAAACAAAAGCTCTAAGCTAGGGAGGCTTAGGCTTGGCTACGGTGTGGACCATGTGTCCCAGAGTACATTAAGAAAGTTAAACTGGACATTCCCTCCAATTTCTATTTATCTTGTTTAAAACTCTTCCCCTTAAATAAATGCACAGTATTGCATTAAAATAACAGAAAAGGAAAAAAATAATCTCAAAACACGTGAAACTACCAAAGCTTGAAATACAAAGACACATCTAATGTATAGCAGAATATGTAAGTTCTAAAATAAAGGCAACATACTGCCTTATCAGATAGGTTACAAACAACATTCTTAATGGTTTTTATAAAGTAGATGGAATTATAATCATGAGGGCATCTGTTTTTGCTCCAATAAGAATACAATAGCATCAGTAAGAACAAATAAAATAGACACATTTATATAACTGCAATTGTAAAATAGTATTTTATTATTTTTAATATAGTGCTGTAACATTTCATAATATTGCATACTGCTCAAATGTTGGTTTATTTAGTTAGACAAGAATATCCTCCCTTCATCCCACACCCCAGTCAGAATTTAAAGACACATTATCCTTTTAGAGCCCTAGCACATTGTCTCCTAATATGTCACATTTCATAAAACAGTAATGCTATGAACTAAAAGAGTAAAGGTTAACAATTACTTTGATTTCAGTTTCACAAGCAGCCAGGAGATTGCCGAATTCAGAACAGCAACAAAAACTCACTAGACTTTGTAGTAGTTACCTTTTCCATAATGCTCCTTCTTAAGAAAAAATATGAAGGCAAAGGTAATGTTTCTTTTAGTCTTTTATTCAACAAATCAACCTTTATCTTGCAAGTAAGTTTTACAGTTACCAAATGATATTATTTCTGTGCCAGCAGATTTTTTTTTTGTTTTTCCAGCTTTTTGTTCTGGTGCTACCAGTAAGTGAACAAAATGACATTAAAAATTAAGTTCTAGGAACACCTTTCAAAATAAAACTTGTTTAAAAACACCAGGCTAGTGAGTCAAATACTTACAAATATAAAACAAGTAAGCATAATTGCATAGATTAACTAGTAAAAATTCAAATTCAGACAAAATGAAACAATGAATTTAATTAAATCAATGTAAAAGGCTCTTTCAAGTATTTTCTTGTTTTTTTGCATTAATGTATGCATTCCCCTTTATAACATGTTTTAATTTTTTTTTTTTTTTTTGGCACAGTTTCTCTTGGATTTAAATATAAGAAGTCTTATTAGGAAAGAAAGTCAATTTTTTTTTTCCATAAAGGTCAGTGAATACTAATGAAAATATATTTTGAAGCATTTTAAAAATTATATTTGAAAGGAGTTGACATATATTAAAAAATTCTAATAACAAAGTATTTGCTAGTCTTGGTTCAATAAAGTCATCACCATGTCAATAGCTGGTCCCAACTATTAGCTACTACTTCTTGCATTCAAATCTAATCAAATTAATTATCCAAGTAACAGATCTAAATATAATTTTATATTTAGATGCTTATAATATGGTCATATTCTGTATTCAGAGATATAAGGTTTCACTGGCAAAATTTAAAAATTGCCCCCTCAAAAATCATCTTATGTGTGAGGGTGTGTACACACACATATATTATGTTTCCTTTCATAAGAACTACTTTGTTTGAAAGACTTGACTCTGATATTCATTAATATGACTACAGGGTCCTCAAAATAAAAGCAGGCACAGCTGGTTAGTTTATGAATTATACTGCATTATTAACTTCGGTTGATTACAAAGAGTGGAATACCCTGTCACCTGATACTTAGAACCATCTGTACCACAAAGAGTTTACCTCATAAATTCACCATCAATTTGGTAATCTTTGATATAACTACCCTGTTCTTTTGAATACACATAACACAACAACAACAACAAAAACCTTTTTTTACTCAACTTTATAACTTCCACCACAATAAAAAGGGCACAGATACAATCCTCTACTTAACAATATATAAAAGAGGTTTGGCAGATACAGTCAGCATTATGGACACCATTTAAACCTGTATTTTATATCTGTAGGTTTTAAGTGTCTTGCCAAAAGCACGGTTTCATGATACATAATTTACAAAGTGTCATACTAAGTTTTAAAAGTACTCCTATATACATTTTCTTCTTGTAACATGCCTCTGATTTCCAGCAGAAACATTATAAACGCTATCATAAATGAAATCTTTCTTTACAGAATAGACTATGGATCATATCAAAAATGCTTTAGTTCCCATCTTAAGACAGTTGTATACTAATTTTTAAATAAGTATTTTAGGTATATAATTGGAAATGTAAATGGCCTGCATATAACCATAAATGAAAAGACTGCAGTTCAACAGTACCATATCTGCTTAGAAAGCTCTAACAAGTACAGCACTGTGAGAACAACACACAGACACCATATACATATGTATCTATAAATAAATAGAATTTTCCCATTGAAACTTTTTTTTTTAAAAGCTTCACAGTTTGAAGAGGTTTTTGCTGTTAATAGGTAAAACAGATACATTATACTGACCGATCTGCTACAAATGTAATCTAATACACTGATTTACAACAAGCAGCGGTATGACCCTCTCTGTATTAGGAAAAAAAAAATCTCTAATACAGATTTCAACTATATTAAAGAATCCTTAGCAATTTTCACTAGTGTCATCCTTTAGTGTCCAAACATTAAGTGCATGTAATAAAATTTAACACATAACAAGGTGATTTCTTCAGGATAATTTTGCCATTCAAGTACCCAAGTTTATTATTACACAGAAAGTGAAACTTTTCAATTACTGCTCTGAAAAATCAGAGAAAGAATTACAGTATTATTTTGCTATGCAGCACTACTTTAGATTCATGATGGCATCTCTATCATGATGCTTTTTAAAATGAAGAGTGAAAAAATAATAAAACACTATTTCAAAAATGGTAGCATATTTGGTCAAAATACAAAATATAATAATATTAATAGCATTTGTATGTTAAAAACAAATATTTAAATGTTGTGTAATCATTTTAATGTGTTCAACATGAAGAACAGCTTTTCTCTTCACAATTGCCACATTTTAATTGATTATCAGTACAATACTTCTATGTTTTATAAACAAATTTTACAGGTTTTTTGTTGTAACTTTTTTTTTTTTTTGCAAAGTATAACCTACAGCACAGTGATTTATAATTTAAGGTAACAGATATTTTCACATTCTAATTTAGCTTTTACACTATTTCATGCTTCTGAAGCTTTTTTGTTTTTGCTTCAAGATAGAGGTAGATTTAATAGATTGGGCATGTCAGACTTACTGCCAGAATGCAATTCTGCTAACGCAAAACTGCTAATGCGCAGTTTCCAAGATGCTAGAAAAAATTCAGAACCATTATGTAATACTTTACCAAAGTTCTCCTTTTCAAGCTTAAGTTATTAAATAATTTTATATGTATTTAATTGTTCACAAGTAGATACAAAAAATAGATAAAACAACAGAAACACAAATACAGGTACACCAAAATAAAAACAAAACTATAACAAAAGATTGCATCCGAATGGAAACTTTTGTTTTGCTTTTTAAAAGTGCATCAACTTTTTCTTTTCTGTTCTAAGTAAAAACACACCAAACATTCCTACTGACACTGTAACAAAGAAGAGATATCTGAAACTACCCTTTTTAGCCATTAATTTTTCCCCCACCAAGTTAAAGTTGAAACCCTTCCATTGGTGCTTCCTGCTGCTGAAACACGAACTGTTGTTCATTTTCATCCACCTGAGGTACAATGTTGGGATCATCTTCTTCTACACCAAAGTAATGTTCAATCAGATCAAAAGCCTTTTGGTAAATTTCCTGATTTTCATGGCTTTGCAGAAATTCAATTTTATCCAGACCTATTATATACATATATATAGAAAATTGTTACACAGGTTTCAACATAAATTTGAACTGAAATAATGAATCCACAGCATCTGTCAGTTCACTAGCAATGGGCTGTTATTTTTATCTAATTTTTGCATATACTGATAGCTAACACCATTTATGCCTTAAACTTTAAGAATGAGAGCATGAGGCAGTGCGGTATGAGGAAGCAGCACAGGCCTGGGGGTAAAAACATCACAGTCTTCACTCTGCTAGCTGTGTGATTTTGCCCAAATAGTTTGGTTCCTTTGTAATTTAGTGTCTCAATTTTAAAATGACAGTTTTAGATTATGTAAGTCCACAGGTCCTTTCCAAAGTAATTATGCTAAATAAAAGGCACAAAAATGGAAAGCATCAAAACAAAAACACACCAAAAGGTGAGCAAACTAACACACACACATTATCTCAGAGAATGAACCAGAAGACACCAATATGGAATGAATACTATTTGCAAATCCAGCGCATCTATTATATAATTTACCAAAAGGACAACCTATAAGTGAAACTGAAAATGTCTATTTTTACAAGATAAGCAGAATCTATAGCACTTCATTTCATTGCTTCCAAGAAAAACAATCTACACACAAGTCTCAGTGATACTGAAAATCTTTTCATTTGATTACAGATGAACCTCTTCAATTGTATTATTACAGGATAGTATTGGAAGTACTAGCCAGAGCAATTATGCAATGAAAAGAAATTAAAGGCATCTAATTCAAAAAGGAAGAAGTAAAACTATCATCATTTGCAGATGACATGGTTTTATAACAGAAAATCCTAAAGACTCCACCAAAAAAATAGTTAAAACTAATCAATGAATTCAGTAAAGTAGGAGGATACAAAAACAGTGCAAAAATCTACTACATGTCTATAAACTAATAACAAACCATTAGAAAGTGAAATTTAAAAAATAATCCCATTTACAAGTGCATCAAAATGAATAAAATTCCTAGGAATACATTTAACCAAGGAGGTAAAAGACCTGTGCACTGAAAACTATAATGAAAGAAACCGAAGACGACACAAATCAATGGAAAGATATTCTGTGCTCATGGGTTGGAAGAATTAGTACTGTTAAAATGTCCACACTATCCAAAGCAATCTACAGATTCAATATCATCCATATCAAAATTCCAATGGTACTTTTCACAGAAATAAAACAAACAATCCTAAAATTTGTACTGAACCACATAAAACCCCAAATAGCCAGATGCAATCTTAAAAACAACAAAGCTGGAGGCATTATACTCCTGGATTTCGAACTATATGACAAAGCTATAATAATCAAAACTTAGTTGCATAAAAACAGATCAATGGAACATAATAGAGAGCCCAGTAAGAAACCCACATATAACATCAATCAGATTACAACAAAGGAGCAAAGAATGTAACATACAATGGGAAATAATAATCTCTTCAAAAAAACGGTGCTGGGGGGTCGCCTGGGTGGCTCAGTGGGTTAAGTGACCAACTTCGGCTAGGTCATGATCTCAGTTTGTGGGTTCAAGCCCCATATCAGGCTTTGTGCTGACAGCTTGGAGCCTGTTTCAGATTCTGTGTCTCCTTCCTCTGCCCTCCCCTGTACTCTCTCTCTCTCTCTCTCTCTCTCAAAAATAAATAAACATAAATAAAATGGTGCTGGGAAAACTGGACAGCTACATACAAAAGAATGAAACTGGGCCACTATCTTATACCACACACTAAAACAAACCCTGAATGGATTACTTGAATGTAGATCTGAAATTCTAAAACTCCCAAAAGAAAACACAGCTGATAAACTCTTTGATATCGGTCTTGGCAATTTTTGGATTTAACACCAAAAGCAATGGCAACAAAAGTCAAAATAAACATGTGAGGTTACATCAAACTAAAACGCAAGGTTACTCTTCCTTGCGTACAGCAAAGGAAGCCATCAACAAAATGAAAAGACAACCTACAGAATAGGAGAAAATATTTGCAAATCATATACTTTAAGGAGTTAATACCCAAAATATATAAATAACTCATAAAACTCAACACCAAAAACAAACCATCTGGTTAAAAAACAGGCAGAGGATCTGAATAGATATTTTTCCAAAGAACACAGATATCCAACAGGTTGAAAAGGTGCTCAACCTCACTAACCATCAAGGAAACATAAATGAAAACTGCAATGAAATATCACCTCACATCTGTTAGAATCAGTTCTCAAAGACTAGAAATAACAAGCACTGATGTGAAGAAAACAGGACCCTGGTGCATTGCTGGTAGGAATGTAAGCTGATGCAGCCACTATGGTAAACCGTGTAGAGGGCTTTCAAAAAATTAAACTACTCAAAAAAAAAAAAAAAAAAAAACCCACCATATAATTTAGCAATTCCTTTTCTGGGTATTTATCCAAAGAAAACAAAAACACTAACTAGAAAAGACACCCACACCCCCATGTTCACTGCAGCACTATTTACAGTGGCCTAGATATATAAACAACCTAAGTATTTACTGATGGAAGAGGAATTAAAAAATTGTGGTATACATGTATATAATAAAATATTATTCAGCCATAAAAAGAATGAAATCTTGCCATGTGCGACACAAATGGACCTTAAGGGCATTATGCTAAATAAAATAAGTCACACAAAGAAAGACGAATACCATGTGATCTCACTTATATGTCAAATCCAAAAATACAAAAACAAATGCCAAGCTCCTAGAGGCAGAGAACTGGTGGTTGCCCATGAAGAAGTTGGCAAAATAGGTATGAAGGAGGTCAAAAGGTACAAACTTCCAGTTATAAATAAGTCATGGGGATATAGTGTACAGTATGGGGACTATACAGTTAAGAATATTTTATTACATATTTATTAAGTTGCTAAGAGAGTAAATCTTAAAAGTGCTCATCACAAGAAAAAATCTTTATACCTATGTACAATAATGGTTGGTAACTAGACTTACTATGGTAATCATTTTGTAGCATATACAAATATTGAATCATTATCTTGTATACCTAAAACCAACATAATGTTAAACAGCAATTAAAAACAAAAAGAATTGACTATAATGATAAATTTTGAACTGACTGCTTACCATATGCTTCTTCAATGAGAGCACAGTATGGATTAATGCCTATTCCATTTTGCTTAGATTCTTGTTCTCCAAGACGTAGAATATTTTCAAGTCCATTTAAAGCCACTTGGACTATTTTAGAATCCATAACAGTCAATAGGTCACAAAGGGGTTTAATGCAACCTAAGGCTACCAAATACCTTCAGAGTAATTAAAAAAAAAGTAGAGGAAAAAAAATTTAAAAAGACTTAAATATTTACAACGATAGGAAAATATTCTTTAGTGAAATGTTACATAAACAATTAAGAAAAGTACTCATATATAAACTCAAACATGAAAACATTTAAATATTCATCTACATAGGAACCTGACACTTCTTTTTACTCTATTCTCATTTAACATAATTAGCCATAAATGATATTACAAATATTACAAAAAGATACACATAAGCAAGTTGGTACTTGGGTCTGTTTTTGCATGGCAATATGAATACTAAGAATAGTGGCTTCAAGGTGCTTTTTTTTCTTTTTTTAAAGGTGAGCCTATGTACACATATCAGGGTCGCATGGGAGTATGCAGAAATGGAGAGGAAAGAGGGACATTTAAATCAAATTTCCCACAAAAACAATTGTAGCTGATGTTCTAAGGTATCTCCTGTGTTTCAGAAGCACAGAAGGCTTCTAGGAGCAAAACAGGCTCTGTTGTGAATAATTTTAACATATAATATTCACAAAAGTTATTCCACTCATTTTTTAATACTTTGTCCTTTTCTAGTTTTTATTAGCTCTTTTCCATTCTCTATAAAATAAAGTAACTGATTTATTCACTTGGCAAAACATCCACTAAGCATAAAGGAAAAAAGCATGTGCAGAAGCCAGAATGCATGACTTCAAGGGCCAAATCCACTCCTTATTAGTTATGTGACTTTGAGTGACTGCTCTGTGCCTCAGTTTCCCCATCTTTAAATGGGGATAATAACAGTACCAAGCTCAGAGTGTTGCTGTAAAAATACAGTTAAGAATTCAATAAAGTTCGTTTCCACTCTCTCTCTTTTTTTTTAAACGTTTTATTTATTTTTGAGACAGAGAGAGACAGAGCATGAACGGGGGAGGGTCAGAGAGAGGGAGACACAGAATCTGAAACAGGCTCCAGGCTCTGAGCTGTCAGTACACAGCCCAACGCGGGGCTTGAACTCACGGACCGCGAGATCATGACCTAAGCCGAAGTCGGCCGCTTAACCGAGTGAGCCACCCAGGCACCCCCCCCCAACTCTCTTTTTTTAAAAAAAGTATATACCTTCACTAGAGCACTCACTTGCCATATACCATACTAAAATTGATCAATATATTTGTTGAATGAATATCTCATAGAGGTATGAAGTTAAAGGACATAAAATACATGAAAGTACCTGATATACTCCTGACACTCAATAACTGAAATGATGTAGCACAACTGGCAATATCAGATATTCAATAAATATTGTGGTATGCATGCTGAAATTAATCTAAGATCTCTTCCCATATATGTAGAATTAATGAAATGGTGAAAATGGTTAGAAAAATAATCACCTTGGTTTGGACACTTGATTCACACTAATAAATCTAAGTAATTACATATGGACGACATAATAATGAATATAAACTGAAAAAACACAACTATTTATAGGTGAACAAAGAAACTTTGGTACCCAAAGCACATAAAAATAATATTAGTATATAAAAAATGCAAGCTAGAACAAAGGAAAGATCTTGTTTTATTACTGCTTATATTCATAACATAATGAAATGGAAATGTAATGAAACAAGTAGAATGGAAAATAAGGAGAGATGTTATCAACATGTAGAAATATAAATCTAAGACAGCAAGATATAGTACAAGTGTAGGCAATAATAGACAAAACCTTCTCAGTGATTTGTAAAGTAGCTAGTAGACTGACTTCTTCTTTTATAAATTAAGAAATAAATCAAATACTAATTAGAAAATACTTCCTAAATAGGCACTTCAAGAAACCTAAAAAGTCCTGAGTTTCCAGACAAATCCATAGAACAAGAAGATTCTGTAGAAAGTTAGGCTTTTAGACAAGTGCAAAGTAGAACCTTACTATGGGGGAAATGCACAAGACAAAAAGAAACTCAAGAATTCTGATCGTAAAAGCTGTGATGATTACACATAATAATGATAACAGCAGCTAATCTTAGTAGAGAACTTAATGTTTAAGCACCATGTTAGGCATTTAAATGTATGAATTACATTTAATTATCAAGATACTACCATAAGTACTATCTGCTAATCAAATTCATTTAAAAAATGAAGAAACTGGGGTGCTTAGGTGGCTCAGTCAGTTAAGTGTCTGACTCTTGGTTTTGGCTTAGGTCATGATCTCACAGTTCGTGGGATTCAGCCCCATCCATGTTGGGCTCCAAGCTGACAGTGCAGAGCCTACTTGGGATCCTCTCTCTCTCTCTCTCTCTCTCTCTCTCTCTCTCTCTGCCTGTCCCCTGCTTGCTGTCTCTCTCAAAATGAATAATTAAATTAAAAAAATATTAAGAAACTGTGGATTAAACAGGTAAAATGACTTTGTCAAGGTCATGCAACTTTTACTGAGGGAACAGGATTTGAAAGCATCCTGACTTCAAAGCCCACAGTACCTATTTATGTTGTTAGTAAAATAAACAAGTAAATAAACAATAAAAGGCTTAGATTCAAAAAGTTATCATAAAAAAGAAAGAAAGAATACTAGTAATGAAAAATAAAAGATACCATCCATAGATAAGGCTAATAACCAGTTAGGAGAACATTACTATACAAACAAATGTCTATTTCAATGTGTTTTAGATAAGGGATGCTCAAATTCATTAGCCATTTCTATATAATAAAGTTACATGTATGTGACTTCAATGGTCTAAAAAAATTTGCAAATTAATATAGACTGTCCTTTTTCAGATTTTTAATCTCTGATTTTTTAAATACAGTCTGTCAAAGAGAATGGTGTTATTATCCTTTAATGAAAAAAGAAAAACCTGTGAATGAATATACCTAATATAACAAATGTTTTCATTTCACATTAAAATGCTTACTAACTGATTTAGAAATAATGTTTTAGTTTCATCAACAAATAAAATGTATTTAGTACTTCATTTAGTTCTATTGACATTTTTAAAAATATCAAAAAAATTTTTATCATACCTTACTTGTTCTGGAGTGCCTCCTGATGTTGCATTAGTTATAGCCCAAGCTGCTTCTTTTCTTGTGCGAAACTCTGCTTTCTGAAGAATCTCAATCAAAACAGGAAAAATATTTGCATCTATAACAGCCTGAGGAGGAAAAATGATACAGCATAATCAATGCAAATACTGTTTTAAACATATTAGTAAGTGGAGAGACTCATTGGTTTTAAAATGTCAGGCTTTTTGGAAATACCTCTGATAATCTTTCTAATCTTTCAACAAACTTTCATGATTGGAGAATATATTAACAGAATATTAATTTTAAATATGATGAAGTACAAGGTGGATAATTTATCAAAATGGATAATTTTTGACTCAAGAAGCTTGGTAAGATCCTAATAAATCACTACTTAAAAGCTTAGAAAGGAAGATCACTACCTATTTAAAACTAATATAAATCCATCCTTTTTTTTTTTTTTTTTTTTTTTTTTTTTTTTAATTTTCTTTTTTTTTGAACGTTTATTTATTTTTGGGACAGAGAGAGACAGAGCATGAACGGGGGAGGGGCAGAGAGAGAGGGAGACACAGAATCAGAAACAGGCTCCAGGCTCTGAGCCATCAGCCCAGAGCCTGACGCGGGGCTCGAACTCATGGACCGCGAGATCGTGACCTGGCTGAAGTCGGATGCTTAACTGACTGCGCCACCCAGGTGCCCCAAAATCCATCCTTTTTAAAGAGTAGCTATATGTGTCCAGCACTGTGGGCAATTTTATACACGCACGCACACACACACACACACACACACACACACACACACAATTCCTCACTAGACTCCTACAAATTAATGTTATTATTTTAGAGGAGAAAAGGCTATGTTCTTTAAAATACTTTTCAAGATCTTTTTAAGTAACTCACTAAAAAAAAAAATCACTGGTAAAATGCTGACTTTTGTCCACACTGACTTATGAAATCTTGCTGTTTTCTTAGATCTGAAAGGTATTTACCTGAATCTGAGCTCTATTTCCAGCAGTGATATTAGAAACAGTCCAGCAGGCTTCTTTTCTGATTGATTCCTTTGGGCTACTCAACAAGTGTAAGAGACACGGTAATGCAGAGCAATTCAAAATTACCTAAAACAAAAATCAGAAATGGAAACAAAGTTTTATGACAAAAACAATAACAAAAAAACAAAACAAATGAAAAAAATCCACACAAAAATATACTAATGATTTAATTTAGAAATATAAAAACCACTCTGAAAAACTAAATTGGGAAAAAAGGGATCCCTTTCAAAGTAAAACTTAGGTTTTTGCTATCTTCTACTCTCCCTCTTTGCCAAATCTGGTCTAATGCAGGTGCAGAAAGTGCCCTTGTCAAACCACCAAAATGCGAATTAGCAGTACATTCAGAGGTGTGCCCTTCAAGTTTAGGAATACACTCAAGAGTTCAACTGATACAACAATTTGAAGAGAGATTTAGTGACTGGCCAGTATCCGACCCCTAGTTTTACTGAATGAAATGATGGAAAAAAAAAATCAAACTAATATACTGATTCTATAAATGTAAAAAACCTCAATGTATACAATAAGGTAATTTTTTTTCATTAAAATGTTTATTCCACTTCTCTTTTATAAAATAGTATGTTCTGCTTTGTCTCTTTACATTAATTCCATGGCATAATTGTGTTCCTATTTTCAAAATACCCACAATGATTTGCATTAAATTTACTTGGTGAAAAATGCATGAAGCAGTATATGAAAATTCTGCTGAAGAGTATATGTTTAAAAGGGCATTCTCATTTAAAGAGCTATTTCAAATTAGAAACTATCAATTACTAAGCATTGCCTATTTAATAACTAATGTGTAAGTACCTAAATAGGACTTGAATAAATTAAAACTGAAAGACAATATGTAAATTAGAATAAAATTTATTTAATGGTGGCAAAGGAGAACTGAATGTGTTACAGAGTTTAAGTTCCTATCTTCAAAAAAGACTGCCCCAGATGTAATCTTGACATCACACCTTTTTTTTTGGTATGTCACCATTCTCCAAAAGACAGACAGACACAGACACATGTAGTTACTAATCCAGGAAATGTTTCCTTCCATTCTCATAATCTAGATCTTCAATCTACTAAAAAAGGCCCTCCCATTTCTAACCAATCCCCTTCTAACCTGTTTATAATCAATCACTCTCTCCCTGATAGTTCCTCTTCCAGTCAACCTTATTGTTTCTTAAACACAACTCACACATCTACTTCTGTACCTATGGTCATATAAATCTCTTCTGGTTTACTTAAATTCTTCTCCATCTTTAAAATACAGTTTAATTACAACTCCGTTATGGAATCTACAAAGATTTCTCAGCACAGTGATCTCTTCTTAAAATTTTTATCGCATTTTACTGATCAATCAGCTCTCGTCAAACATATACTAAACTTGGGCAATTTACTTTGTTTTAATATGTATTTTCCCCTCAATTTTATCATAAATCCCTCAAGAGCCTACCTTCTGTCTTATACTTCTTTACATCAATATATATCTAGGATAGTGCTTTCACACAGAGGTATTTGAGGTTAATCACTTATTACCAAGAATATGCTTATTACCATTACATTGTAGATGTCTATATAGTTGTGGCAATGCTAAAGTCTTGATTAATATGTAACCAAGTAGTATGAAACTAGGTAAATTTCTTAAAATCCATTATGTTAACAATTTATGTTAAAGTCTGAACTCACCTGTGTTTGAATATCATCACCAGTCACAATATTACCAACTGCTCTTAATGCAGGTGATACAACTTTATAATCATTGTGCCTAAAAATAATAAAAATACCAACTTACATGATATATGAGAGTTAAAATTTACCCAAAAAATGCAAAAATAGTACAAAAATACTTGTATACTCTTTAGCCAGAAATCCCATTCAAGTTTCACTAGTTACCCCAGTAACACCTTTGTAATAAAGAATCTAATCCAGGATTATGTATTACACCCAGCTGTCATGTCTCTAGTCTCTTTCAATACAAAAAAGTTCCTATTTTTTTCTTTATGATCTTGACATTTTTGATGATCCTAAGCCAGTTATCTGTTTTTCCTCCAATGTATCCTCATGATTAAGACACAAATCACCTACTTTTAGCTGGGACATCACAAATGCTATAGTCTTTTCATTACATAGTATAGCATCTGACACCTGTTTTTTCTACAATAGTGGTGCAGAACTCCAGTCAATTAGGATGATGTTTGTCAGATTTCTCCTCTTTAACATTACTGTTTTTCCCTTTATAATTAATATTTTGGAGAGGATATACTTTTATACTATGTAAAATCCCATTCCTTATCCCACTTTTACCACTACTTTCACCATTTCTTGATGTGTATTGTTTTCAACGTTTATTTATTTTTGGGACAGAGAGAGACAGAGCATGAACGGGGGAGGGGCAGAGAGAGAGGGAGACACAGAATCCGAAACAGGCTCCAGGCTCTGAGCCATCAGCCCAGAGCCCGACGCGGGGCTCGAACTCACGGACTGCGAGATCGTGACCTGGCTGAAGTCGGACGCTCAACCGACTGCGCCACCCAGGCGCCCCGATGTGTATTGTTTTAATTATTAATCATATTGTTGCCAATGATGATTTTCTAATACCATTATTTCAACTGTATGTCTTTTCTACCTTATCTATTGATCTACCTACTTCTTTTAGTATGGACTCATGGACTCCTATTTTATTCAATACGTTAGTTTGGTTCTTGTTAATGAAGAGTAGTAAAAACCAAGATTTCATGTGTTCAGCTTTTTAATATAGATGTATCTCTACTCTCAGGCTCTTTAAGAGGATAAACACACACACACACACACACACACACACACACACACACACACACATTTATTTCTACATCTATCTCTTTATGTTAAAAGCCATGAGTTCACATTCAAATCTCCAGTTCTAATCTAATACCACAAGATTATTC